AACTAATTGTGCAGGTTCCATGGCTCCTAAACGACGAAATGATGCTACTTCTTCCTCTTCATCCGTACCACGTTTCACCTCCCCAGAGAATGAGGCTTGGAATGATCAAAGGAAGAAGTGGAAAATTGTGATTGAAAAGACCGTGCACCCGGAGATCGAAGCTCTCTACCAACTCTCCGACGCTTTTAACAAATTGGGATGGGCCGTCATGCTCACTCTGACTGGGGCATTCTACCCGACGCTTGTACGGGAGTTCTATGCCAATATTGAGAGGAAAATGGACCCGTATGGGGATATTGTGAGCACGGTTAAAGGCACAAAAATCACCATTAGCAAACAAAGATTGTGCAACTTGCTTCGTATCCCCAACGTTGGTCGTCCGGTTGAAATGAACTCTGTAGTGGTGCTCACCGACCCCGCCTACAACGAGATTGATGTCATGAACGACTATGGTTTCGATGAGGAGCTTAAGGCCCGTGTTCTTGAACCCCGAGAGAGACTAATTGCATACCTTTTGAGTTTCAACATCTTGCCACGAGCTAGTGACACGCATGTGCTTCGGCGGTTGGACCTCTACCTCATGCACAAATGATGAACGGACTTGGAGAAATCGAGGGCATTCCTTTGGCCCCTCTCATCATGACTGAAATGAGGGGCGTCGTCAAAACTAAAAGAGGTGATAAAAACTTTATTTATCCTCTTTTACTCACGATGATTTTCAGGAGTTTTGGCGTCGATCTTAGTAATGAAGAAGTGGAGTACACCGCCGCAGCCCAAATTTTGAGGCCAAGCACTATGGTGTCCCTCCAGTTCAAAAAGGTGGGGGATGCATGGGTTCGCAAGGAAGAGAACGGCGACGAAGAGATGGGAGAAGCTGCCGCACAACCCGCAGCCCGGCCACGGCGAACCATGGCACAGGGCATTGATTATATTGTTGACTCCATGGACCGTATGCATACGAGGATGAACTTGTACGAGGCTAACCAAGAGGACCTCCGTACCCGTCAAACCAGGATGGAAGAGCATTTGGACCGCATTGACCGAAGGTTTGGGCAATTCACCCAACACTACTATGGTCAATTTGGACACCCCCCTCCCGATCCACAAAATTAAACTCCCATTCTTGTTATTTCATATGACATACTCTTCTCTAAACACATGCTTTGTGGATGGTGATTGAAGTTTTATGCTCCTATGATTTATACATTGGGACAATGTATCTTAAGTGTGGGGGGTGCATCTCAAGGGTAGCTAAACAAAATTTTGTGTGCAAAATATTTTTTTTTAGGGAAGAAAAAAAATGATGTTATTTCTCCTTTTAATGGGTATTTGGTTGAGAAAGTTTTTTTTTATTATTCACATAAAAATATCATTTTTTTTGGATTTACACTACCTTTTACTCTTGAAAACCACTTCCAAAAGAACTCTTGTGATTAGGAACACCATCTTCTTTCATTCCCAACAATGGTTTAAGTACATCTCAAATATTCAAGAACCATTGTGGAAAACAAGCCACCCTCATATCTCATCAAATAAATTGGGATGATCAAAATAACTTTCAGTAGATGCTTGTTGAGAACCAATTCAAATGAGTTAAAAAAAAAAAAAAAAACTCATGATCTCTTTCAAGAGTTTCAACTGATCCACTTCTATACTCAAAAGTCAAATACACAAAAAGAGCCATCCTACACCCCCCAAAAAAAAAATCCTAGTCACAATCCATTCATCTCCTCTCAAGAGTATAAGTAATTTTTCTAAATCTAATGATATTTTTTGTGTTTAATAGAAAAATGGGTTTTGGACCGAGAACGAAAAAAGGAGTTTACAAACATTTTTTTTACCTCTCTTTTAAAAATTTATTTTGTGCATATATTTTTGTTGAACTAACCAAGGCATCAAAAGGCGACAACATTGCTCGAGGACTAGCAACGCTCAAGTGTGGGGGAATTTGATAAGCACAATAATTACTTATGTTTTACAAAAGTAATTACATTTATCTGTACAAAAATGTGAAGCAAAAACAGATAAATATTCTCGAGTTAGCGGAAACATGAAATACGACATGGAGCAATGAAAATAGGGTCAAAAATCAAAAGGGATCGAAAACCGGCACTTCGGGATCAATTTTCGGGCATCAAACGAAGAAAAGAAGCAAAGTACAAGTTTGGGCGCTAGGACCGGCGCCGGATGCCCCATGACCGGCGCCGGTCGTCAGGATTTTTTGCCCAAATCGGGCCTGTTTCCAACCGGCGCAGCACAACCGGGGCATTTTTGCAACCAACCGGCGCCGGACATGCTATAACCGGCGCCGGTTGTTCCGATTTTTTGCTAAAACAGTCCGACGTGCAGAAGATTTCTGATGGGAAAAACCCATCTTCCTCCATATCTGATCAAATATTGCTTCCATACCCGATTGTTAGGCTTGAATAGACTAAAAGATGCCATTCTTTAGCCTATATAAAGCCCTCAATTCATCAAGCAAACACATTCCATTCCATAGATTAAATCATAGCTTTTATATTTTTGTTCTTGGTATTTTCTTCAAGTTCTTGAGGAGGAAACTTCAACCTCCAAAACCATTGGTGTTTAGGTATTATTTCCTTTGTAATTTCATGTTCCATTACATTTCATATTGTATTGTGATTAAAATGAGCATTAGAGGCTAATTTCTTAGCTAAGGCTAGGGATGATCCTCTATGCACACTAGGTGTTTGATAAAAGTTCTAAACCAATAAATTGTGATTTATCCTTTATATTTTGATTGTTTATGACTATGGTGTACAACATAGAAGTATGTTAAATTTAGTTTATGCTTGCAATTAACGTTGAAGTCTAAACTATGAACATTAAAGGATAAACATATATAGTACCGAGAATAGAAATATATCCGGTCTTATATGATACGGGTGTGATGTCTTGATATTCAACGGGGTTTTCGGTAGATGAATGTAAGCCGTAACGGGACTTACACGTAACGAAAACCACGCTCTCGCTGCCTTAACCGGAGTTGAGAATATATTAGCGACATTGTATTCATGATTATTGGGAAAGAACTATTATTAAATAACTATTAATGCATTTAGGTGAATCCCGATTGCCTTAGTAATTCTTATTCTTGTTTAAATCAACCTCAAAGAACAAAGTTCCTGAAAAATTATACCATTTATATTCTTTTGCATTCAATATTCAACTTTATAGTATCAACCATTTCCCTGTGGATCGACCCGGTATTTACCGGTATTTTATTACTATATCGGCACTTGTATACTTGCAAGTTCAGCCCGGTCAACAACAATTAGGCCTGCATTGTTGTATGGCGTAGAGTGTTGGGCGGTGAAACAATGTCACATCCAAAAGATGAGTGTGGAAGAGATGCGCATGTTGCGCTGGATGTGTGGGCATACTAGGAAGGACCACGTGAGAAATGAGACCATCAGACAAAGGGTGGGAGTAGCCGTAGCACCTATTGAAGACAAGATGCGGGAGTCTCGCCTACGGTGGTTTGGTCATGTGCGTAGAAGACCGAATGATGCACCTTTCAGACGTGTTGAGATGTATGGAGAAGAGACAGGGAAGAGAGGGAGAGGAAGACTCAAACAGATGTGGGTTAGGGCAGTCTGAAGTGACATGCTTCTTCTTGGGTTGGATGAGGGTACGGCTTTGGAGAGAGCAAAGTGGAGGGTGGGTATTCGTGTGGAGGAGTGATCTCGTATTATTATTATTATTATTTCCCCTCATCTTTTTTCTTCTTGTTTTTTATTCCTTTATCCTTATATATATAAACGTTATTTCTATCCTTTTTATTTTATCAATTTTAAGTATATTCATCCTGTTTTATATTATCTTTTTTATTATAGCTTATTTTTTATCTTTATTTTCTTTCATTTCCTTTTGGTGGTGTTATCATGTATCGATTCATGTTAGCCGACTCCAATATCATTTGGGATTAAGGCTTGGACATTGTTGTTGTAGTATTTGTTTTCATTTATTTTTCATAATTCCATTATTAATTTTTACTTAGTAAGTGCACTTTTTCAAGTAAATAATGCAATTCTTGTATTAGGGCATCCTCATTGTTAAGTGTGACACCGCACCCGAACGTCCTTGAAAATTCGATTTAAAAATTCAAAAGTGATGTATTGAATTTCCAATTTCAAAACAATGGGAGAAACGATTAATATTTTACGAAGTACATGATTGAATATTGTATTGTTCAAACCCGCATTCTTTTGTAATTTTCATCGTGTAAATTATTGGGATGAGCCTACACATATTGGAGATCAATAATGTGATTTAGGAAGTTGACTTGTTCTAAATAAATTAGGATGAGTACAAAAAGACATCTTTGACAAAGATAAAACAATAGGACCCATCTTCCCATTTTTGGAAGTATTGGTAGATATTTTGGACCCCAAATTTAATGGGATCAATTGGGAACCACTCCACATGGTATTAGTACCTGCAAAACAAATAAAAATGGGTTAGGAGACTTACCTTGGCCGGCCATTATGGAGAAGAGCTGCACATGACTTGATAAGAATCAAAGTTTGGGGCCACCACTCTTATTTTCGCACAAATTGGTGTGCTGTTTGTCTCCTCTCATTATAGGAGCTATCCTCAACCAAATAACGTGTATGAGGTGTCCTTGGATAGCCTTTGAAGTCTATTATCTCAATTGAGTGGTCTTTGTTCGAGGAGAGAAGGCTTATCTTGCAAAAATCGAGCTGGAACGAGCAAAGGTCTGTGAACTCGAGCTGTGAGAGTGCTGAGACTGTTTGGTCGATATCTCGAGTTTTACAAGTCCAATTAAGGCGTGTGAGATACCCACAGAAAGCTCTCAAGACGAGGAATCCGTGAAGGTCTGGTTTGCAGGAATCGGAGTTGTGGAAGGCTTCCAAATCGTCCGAGCAAAACACAACCTCGCAGGAGAGGATTTAATCTTCTAAAGTGAGTTTTAACCCCAAAGCTTTACTTTTCATTCTCCAAATGATATGAACGATTGGTGAGACTATTATACACTAATCCAAGTGTATAATATGTCCCTAAAAAGTTATCTTATTGATGTAAAGGTTAGATACTAACCTAGATGCAAATATTGGAAAACTAGGAATCGAGTTAGCCGGAAAACACCCGTTCTAGGGGCTGTTTTCGTATCAACGATTAAGGGTTGAACTAGCACTTTGAGGAGGCTGTTTAACACTCATATTTGAGCAAGGAATCAGTCCCAAATCCACCTTGACCAAAGATTTGACCATTGGACCAAGAAGGGAAAGTTTAAAGCTCAATTGAGGTGAGGATTGACATCTAATTGCTTACAACTTGTAGGTTAAGCATGAGATTACCTAAATGCTTAAATCATGATTTTTCATGGATTATGATGATTATATATTGATGAAATATTGATATAGTTGCCAAAGAATGAAATTTGAAATGATTTGAGAAGGTATGAATAATATGAGATTAAATGAGTATAAATGAACTATTTGTGAAAATGGGCATTTTTCTCATGTATGAATTATGTGGATACATAAATGAATATTTGTGTATTGAGAATGAATGTTTAAGTTGCTGCTACATAAGTATAAATATGTAGAGAATTACAAATAACAAGGATAATGGTTTGATAACAATAATCTTAATAGTATTGAAATACTAGTTAATGATTATTGGGATTTATTGATTAAATTGATCCTAGGGATTGGATTGTATGAAAGGTGCTTGAATATAGTTCAAGTGTATATAATAACTTAGTATGGAACTAAGGTTAAGTTACGGGAAGTCTTTAAGGATGACCCATGGTAGTTTAATGATATGTCAATTCTAGGCATAGGGATTGCTTGAGAATTGGACCTTAATGCATGGTGATGTGATAGAGCCGAGCTCTAGAATGCATGTAAGGGTAGACTTGGAGTCTATGTATTGTATAGCTAGAGCCGAGCTCTAGGACTTGCGTGGTGATGTGGTAGAGCCGAGCTCTAGAACGCAAGGTAAGGAAATTGACCCGAGGTATATGAATTGTATGGTGATGTGGTAGAGCCGAGCTCTAGAATACAATGTCATGTACTAGGGTTGGACTCTAGGAGTTGTCGTGGCTTATAGCCACGGGGTTGGGAATGGTGATTTCCAAATGAAAACGGGCCCACGGGCCGACTACTTGACTTTTATATAAAGTAAGTATATTTTTAAACGGGGTAACTTAGGGTTACAATCATAATGTACTATCACCCTACTTGAGGGTCTTGTGTTTGAAATACTTGTTGTATATCTATTAGATGCCTGCCACACCAGTACTTTATAGCCGTATAGAGTACTGACCCCTTCGGGGGCGTCCCACCACCATTTCAGGTTGAGGCTAGAGCTTGCTTCCTGTGCTCGTTGATCGAGTGATTCCTTGGAGAGAAGACTTGGTTCGTGCTTCCTCCATTCTGTTTTTAAATAATATTAAACTTGCTCATGGATATTTTACTTTAGAGCCTGCGTGCTCATGTTTGCCCTGTGTGGCCCTTTTGTTTTAAACAATGTTTTCCGCTGCGTATTCAATTGTTTATTATGTATGTTTATGGATGACTTATGTGTGAATGATATTCATGACGCCTTGTATAATATGAATGTGTTGGACTGCGGTTGACTATTCGTATTGTACGGCGGGTTGTTGACGTGTCCGGGGAGGTCCGGGGCGTGACAATTAAGTTGGTATCAGAGCCTTAGTCCATAAACTTCATAATGAAGTCTCAAAATTCTCTTTTTGAAAAGATTTTGAAAACCATGAGCATAGGAGTTTTGTACTTGGAGAGCTTTTGGTACTTGGGTTGCAAGGTCTCTAATTGTTAAGATGGTACCCTTAGCAATTGGTATGGCGGTGACTCGAGCCAAAATGTGTCTTAAGTACATATCCGTCAATTGACATTTGATACGAGTCTAACGACTCTTTCCAAATTTCTTTCAGAAATGGACCGTGGTGGCAAGGTAACTAGGAGGAACCCTTTGGGCCGTGCACCCGAGGAGACTGGGCAAGGCAGTCGTAGGACCTCTAGGGCATCTAGAGGAGCGGGCCGTGGAGGCCAATCACGGACCGTGAGTGACGGTCATGTGAGCACCGAAAGTGACAGCTACTGGTCCTATGAGGACTCGACCTATCGGCCGGAAACAGAGCCGGTTGAAACCCCTTATGAAGGGGATGATGATGATGTAAGTGATGAGGAGGACAACGGCTCCTTAGCGCGGATTGAGGCACTACTCCAGCAATATCACCGTGAGCGTGAAGAGAGGAGGGAACGCCGAAGGCGCCGGGCTGGGCAACCTTCGGGCATGGCTTCACGAGGAGGAAGTCATGGTGCATCTAGAGTCCATGTGGAACCACGTGGAGGCCAAAATGATGGAGGTCCAACCATAAGGATCTCCAAATACATCAAAGAAGCAAGAGATTTGGGGTGCAAACCCTTTGATGGAGCAGGGGACATTTCAGTGGCAGCACAATGGATCAAGAGGCTAAATGAAGCGGCCCTTGACATGCAAATCGCGCCGAATCTCAAACTGAGAATTGCGGTAAGATTACTCGAGGGGATGGCATCCAAGTGGTGGGATGGAACCAAGAACAAGTACGGTGAGACCGTCGTTTGGGAGGACTTCCAACGGGAGTTCTTTGCCCAATACTATTCTGATTTCGAGGTGAATAAGAAGGTGAGGGAATACACCCTCCTAACCCAAGGGGGTAACATGTCAGTGAAGGAGCTTGAGTACAAGTTCCGGGATCTCGCCGACTACATACCGGAGTATGCTTGTGACGAGAACCGCATGGTGAACCACTTTTGGGACGCTCTTGACTTGGAGATACGTGATAGGGCAACGCAATTGCCTAATATGACTTTCGCCCAAGTGGTTGAACAAGCATTGAAAGGGGAGAAACAGTGGGAGGAACGGAAGAAGAGAGACGCCGAGGAGGCGAAAAAGAGAAAATGGGAGAGTCATGGCTCCCAAGGTTCCAACAAAAAGGGGAACCATGGAGGAGGATCTTTCCGGGCACCACCGCCACCGTCTAGGGGGAACCAAGGCCCGAGTGGGCAAGGCTCGAGGTCACAAACCTCGGTGGTAACTCGTTGCAACAATTGCAAGAAGAACCACTCCGGTAAATGTCGCGACCCCCCTAGATGCTTTCAATGTGGGGATGCCGGGCATTTGAAGGCACATTGTCCACAACTGGGCGGGGCAAGGACATCGGGACCAAGCAGTGGCCCGACGGGTACACGGAGTCAGACCGGGGCCTCTCAAGCAAGCAGAGGACAAGGGGGAGCAAGCGCGAGTAACGCGCCGTCCGTGAATCAAGGAAGGACGCAAGCTAGAGTCTACGCAATGACCGAGGCTGATGCTCGGGCTAATCCCGACTCCGTCGCAGGTAATACACTTATTCGGGTCATTTCTAGGCTTATTTTGATCATATACGTCGTTGGGATTGAGTACGGGCCACCCCGGGGTCAAACTGGGTGAGTTAGGCCGAATCGGGCTGGAAACAGCCACTGCTGGCCAGGCACGCCCGAAGGCACGCCGTGCCTGGAATCGTGCCTGGAAGGCAGTGGCACCCGAAGGAAAGAAAAAAAAAAAAAAAATTTTGGGCCAGGCACGGCCGCAGGCACGCCGTGCCTGGCGTCGTGCCTGGGAGGCAGTAGCGCCCAGGGCTTTTTCCCAAGCCAGGCACGACCGTGCCTACCCCAGGCACGCCGTGCCTGGCACCCAGATTGCCGAAACCTGATTTTTTCGCACCGTTTTGCGACGTTAAGGCCTCTTCTTGATCTCTAACGTGCGTGTGAACATTGCAACCTTCTATAAATGAGTAGGGAGGATAGGAAAGATGTCTTACATGGTTCATGAATGTAGGGACACTAAAGATTAACGGGAAGGATGCACGAATCCTTATCGATACCGGAGCGCAACGTTCATTCGTGAGTGAGGCGTTTGCCGAGAGCTTAGAGATGCAATCAATACCAATGACACAAACCTTAGTGGTATCAACCCCACTAGGGGAAGACGTTGAAAGAAACAATTACTATCCATCTTGTATGGTGGAAATCGGTGGCCAAACCTTGACGTGTGATTTCGTACCGCTGAGTATGATGGAGTTCGATGCAATCCTAGGGATGGATTGGCTAGAAAAGCATCATGCTAGGGTAGATTGCTACACAAAGGTGTTGGAACTCGAAGGCACACATGGGGACACCCTACGCTTCGAGGGGGACCGCGGCAAATCAAATAGTTGTATCATATCCGCCGTGAGAGCGAGAAATATGATGAGGAAGGGATGCCACGCATATCTAGCATACGTGGTTGACAAAACCAAAGAGGGAACGAACATCGATGATGTGAGGGTGGTTTGTAAGTATCCGGATGTCTTCCCTAAAGACCTACCGGGGCTTCCACCTGACAGGGAGATTGAATTTGTGATCGAGGTCGAGCCTGGTACCAAACCAATCTCCATACCGCCATACCGGATGGCACCCGCTGAACTTAACGAGTTGAAAACCCAATTGCAAGAGCTTTTGGATAACGGTTTCATTAGACCAAGCCACTCCCCGTGGGGAGCACCGGTTCTTTTTGTGAAAAAGAAAGATGGGACACTTCGAATGTGCATTGACTATCGTCAACTGAACAAGGTCACAATCAAGAATAGGTATCCGTTGCCTAGGATTGATGACTTGTTTGATCAACTACGAGGAGCAACCGTGTTTTCGAAGATTGACTTAAGGTCGGGGTACCATCAATTGAAGATTAAGGAAGATGACATACCAAAGAGTGCTTTCCGCACAAGGTATGGGCATTTTGAGTTCCTTGTTATGTCGTTTGGGTTAACAAACGCCCCGGCGGCATTCATGGACTTGATGAACCGAGTATTTCATAAATACTTGGATCGATTCGTGATTGTGTTCATAGATGACATCTTGATTTACTCAAAGAGTGAAGAAGAGCATGAGGAGCACTTGATACTTGTTCTTGAAACACTACGGGAGAAGCAACTCTATGCCAAATTTTCTAAATGTGAATTTTGGCTAAAGGAGATTGGCTTCCTCGGGCACGTGGTTTCGGGATCGGGGATTGCTGTTGATAACAAGAAGATAGAAGCCATCACTGAATGGGAGAGGCCAAAGAACGTCAAGGAAATTCGTAGTTTCCTTGGATTGGCAGGCTACTATAGAAAGTTCGTGGAAAAGTTCTCTGTTTTGGCATCGCCATTGACGAAGCTCACTCGTAAAGGAGCTAAGTTTGTATGGGATGACAAATGTGAGAAAGGGTTCATGGAACTAAAGAAGAGATTGACTGAGGCACCGGTACTTGCATTACCCAAACAAGGTGTGGGGTACGATGTCTATAGCGATGCGAGCATCCAAGGGCTCGGATGTGTACTGATGCAGAATGGGAGGGTAATCGCCTATGCTTCACGACAATTGAAGAAGCATGAGGTGAATTATCCTACTCATGATTTGGAGCTCGGGGCAGTGGTATTTGCACTGAAGATATGGAGACATTATCTCTACGGGGAGACATGTCACATATACACTGATCACAAGAGCTTGAAGTACGTGTTTACTCAGAAAGAGCTAAACATGAGACAGAGACGGTGGATGGAGCTGATAAAAGACTACCATCTGGTGATAGAGTATCACCCAGGCAAGGCAAATGTGGTGGCAGATGCTTTGAGCCGGAAGAGCTCGTCTGGGGCATTGATAACTAATTTGAGGGCATTAAGAGCCCAACTGGAGGTAACCAGCGATGGTGCCTTATTGGCACGATTTGAGGTGAGACCCACTTTACTTGATGAGATCAAGAAGGGTCAGGAAGCCGACGAAGAACTTATGAAGGTCCGGGAACGCATGCAAGCGGGGCCGGTGGAGGATTTCAGGGAAAGAGATGATGGTCTCTTGTTATTTCGTGACCGAGTGTGTGTACCGTCAGATGATGAGCTCCGAAAGTCCATCTTAGAGGAGGCTCATTCATCGGCTTATGCCATGCACCCGGGGGGCACGAAAATGTACCGTGATTTGAAGGAAAGTTACTGGTGGTCTGGAATGAAGAGGGAAATAGCCGAGTACATCAGTCGGTGCCTTACTTGTCAACAAGTTAAGGCAGAACATCAGCACCCAGCAGGCTTATTGCAACCACTCTCCATCCCTGAATGGAAGTGGGAGCACGTGACTATGGATTTCGTGGTAGGCTTACCACGGACTATCAGGAACTATGACGCGGTTTGGGTCGTTGTGGATAGGCTCACAAAGAGTGCACACTTCTTGCCTATCAACACTACCTACCCACTTGAGAGGTTAGCCAAATTGTATACGGATGAGATCGTGAGGCTGCATGGGGTCCCGGTGACCATTGTATCTGATAGAGACCCACGATTCACATCACGTTTTTGGCCGAAATTCCAGGAGTCTATGGGAACGAAGTTGAAGTTCAGCACTGCTTTCCATCCACAGACGGATGGGCAGTCTGAAAGGGTTATTCAGATCCTAGAAGACATGCTGAGGGCTTGTGCATTGGAGTTCCAGGGAAGTTGGGACAACCACTTAGCACTTGTGGAGTTTGCCTATAACAACAGTTATCAGGCAAGCATCGGCATGCCTCCATACGAGGCATTGTATGGGAGGAGGTGCCGTACACCGTTATGCTGGGACGAGGTTGGCATGGCCAAACTCGAGGGTACTGAGTTGGTTGAGGTCACCAAATCAAAGGTGAAGTTGATTCGAGAGAGACTCAAGGCGGCTCAGGATAGACAAAAGAGTTATGCAGATAAGCGTCGAAGAACCTTAGAGTTTAAGGTTGATGACGAGGTATTCTTGAAAGTTTCTCCTTGGAAAGGGATCATTCGGTTCCAAACCCGAGGAAAACTTAACCCACGATATATAGGTCCATTCAGAATTATAGAGAGGATTGGGGCCGTTGCATATCGTCTACAGTTGACTCCTGAGTTAGAGAAGATACATAATGTGTTTCATGTATCCATGCTTAAGAAGTATGTGCATGATCCCTCTCACGTACTAGAGAAGCCACCTGTAGAGGTACGTGAGGATTTGAACTACGCTGTTCAACCTATCAAGGTCACCGATAGAAAGGTGAAGAAGCTGAGGAGCAAAGAAGTCCCAATGGTTAAAGTCCTGTGGAAGAGCGATCGGGTCGAGGAAGAGACATGGGAAACGGAGGCTTTGATGAGGAAGCAGTATGCTTTCCTATTCGAGTAGAGCTGTGAATTTCGGGGACGAAATTCCTGTTAAGGGGGGGTGAACTTGTGACACCGCACCCGAACGTCCTTGAAAATTCGATTTAAAAATTCAAAAGTGATGTATTGAATTTCCAATTTCAAAACAATGGGAGAAACGATTAATATTTTACGAAGTACATGATTGAATATTGTATTGTTCAAACCCGCATTCTTTTGTAATTTTCATCGTGTAAATTATTGGGATGAGCCTACACATATTGGAGATCAATAATGTGATTTAGGAAGTTGACTTGTTCTAAATAAATTAGGATGAGTACAAAAAGACATCTTTGACAAAGATAAAACAATAGGACCCATCTTCCCATTTTTGGAAGTATTGGTAGATATTTTGGACCCCAAATTTAATGGGATCAATTGGGAACCACTCCACATGGTATTAGTACCTGCAAAACAAATAAAAATGGGTTAGGAGACTTACCTTGGCCGGCCATTATGGAGAAGAGCTGCACATGACTTGATAAGAATCAAAGTTTGGGGCCACCACTCTTATTTTCGCACAAATTGGTGTGCTGTTTGTCTCCTCTCATTATAGGAGCTATCCTCAACCAAATAACGTGTATGAGGTGTCCTTGGATAGCCTTTGAAGTCTATTATCTCAATTGAGTGGTCTTTGTTCGAGGAGAGAAGGCTTATCTTGCAAAAATCGAGCTGGAACGAGCAAAGGTCTGTGAACTCGAGCTGTGAGAGTGCTGAGACTGTTTGGTCGATATCTCGAGTTTTACAAGTCCAATTAAGGCGTGTGAGATACCCACAGAAAGCTCTCAAGACGAGGAATCCGTGAAGGTCTGGTTTGCAGGAATCGGAGTTGTGGAAGGCTTCCAAATCGTCCGAGCAAAACACAACCTCGCAGGAGAGGATTTAATCTTCTAAAGTGAGTTTTAACCCCAAAGCTTTACTTTTCATTCTCCAAATGATATGAACGATTGGTGAGACTATTATACACTAATCCAAGTGTATAATATGTCCCTAAAAAGTTATCTTATTGATGTAAAGGTTAGATACTAACCTAGATGCAAATATTGGAAAACTAGGAATCGAGTTAGCCGGAAAACACCCGTTCTAGGGGCTGTTTTCGTATCAACGATTAAGGGTTGAACTAGCACTTTGAGGAGGCTGTTTAACACTCATATTTGAGCAAGGAATCAGTCCCAAATCCACCTTGACCAAAGATTTGACCATTGGACCAAGAAGGGAAAGTTTAAAGCTCAATTGAGGTGAGGATTGACATCTAATTGCTTACAACTTGTAGGTTAAGCATGAGATTACCTAAATGCTTAAATCATGATTTTTCATGGATTATGATGATTATATATTGATGAAATATTGATATAGTTGCCAAAGAATGAAATTTGAAATGATTTGAGAAGGTATGAATAATATGAGATTAAATGAGTATAAATGAACTATTTGTGAAAATGGGCATTTTTCTCATGTATGAATTATGTGGATACATAAATGAATATTTGTGTATTGAGAATGAATGTTTAAGTTGCTGCTACATAAGTATAAATATGTAGAGAATTACAAATAACAAGGATAATGGTTTGATAACAATAATCTTAATAGTATTGAAATACTAGTTAATGATTATTGGGATTTATTGATTAAATTGATCCTAGGGATTGGATTGTATGAAAGGTGCTTGAATATAGTTCAAGTGTATATAATAACTTAGTATGGAACTAAGGTTAAGTTACGGGAAGTCTTTAAGGATGACCCATGGTAGTTTAATGATATGTCAATTCTAGGCATAGGGATTGCTTGAGAATTGGACCTTAATGCATGGTGATGTGATAGAGCCGAGCTCTAGAATGCATGTAAGGGTAGACTTGGAGTCTATGTATTGTATAGCTAGAGCCGAGCTCTAGGACTTGCGTGGTGATGTGGTAGAGCCGAGCTCTAGAACGCAAGGTAAGGAAATTGACCCGAGGTATATGAATTGTATGGTGATGTGGTAGAGCCGAGCTCTAGAATACAATGTCATGTACTAGGGTTGGACTCTAGGAGTTGTCGTGGCTTATAGCCACGGGGTTGGGAATGGTGATTTCCAAATGAAAACGGGCCCACGGGCCGACTACTTGACTTTTATATAAAGTAAGTATATTTTTAAACGGGGTAACTTAGGGTTACAATCATAATGTACTATCACCCTACTTGAGGGTCTTGTGTTTGAAATACTTGTTGTATATCTATTAGATGCCTGCCACACCAGTACTTTATAGCCGTATAGAGTACTGACCCCTTCGGGGGCGTCCCACCACCATTTCAGGTTGAGGCTAGAGCTTGCTTCCTGTGCTCGTTGATCGAGTGATTCCTTGGAGAGAAGACTTGGTTCGTGCTTCCTCCATTCTGTTTTTAAATAATATTAAACTTGCTCATGGATATTTTACTTTAGAGCCTGCGTGCTCATGTTTGCCCTGTGTGGCCCTTTTGTTTTAAACAATGTTTTCCGCTGCGTATTCAATTGTTTATTATGTATGTTTATGGATGACTTATGTGTGAATGATATTCATGACGCCTTGTATAATATGAATGTGTTG